ATTATTCTCAAGCAACCACATCTAAAGTAAATATGATGTGAAATATCATGGACTTTCACCGTAATCGTTCCCTTTCCTGCAGGTTTCTTGTTCTTCAGCACCAAAGGTCTAGTCAGCTTGCTACTAGAAACAATCTGTGTAGAAATATAAAAAAAAAACACATCAGACAATCATGCAGGAAAAATGAATTCAAAACATGGATGTTTTGGATCTTTGGTTGTCTTACCTGACCCAATGAGCACTCGAACTCGCCCAGGAAGTCATCATCGCTCAAATCAATGGTTTTATTATCAATATCGTAAAGGCCGAATCTGAGCTTCTGAACGACCTCAAAGTAGTAATCGACAACAAACTTCTTGGCAAATTTTGGGCTTAAGCAGTTCTTAACCCTGTCAGTGCGATCGACCTACGAAACAAAACACTTTCAGATTCCAAAACAAGCATTTTCACATATACATTTGAACAGTATGCACAACAAACAACAGTTGAACTAACCTCAAACCACTGGTTTCCAGATGTGTTCATGAGCAGGACACACAGTGGGTCAGATTTGGACCCCACATCCGTGTCCAGCAGGTTTTCACAGGAGACTGTCAGCTCCACCTTGGTCACACACGAAACTGCCATTGGACTGATCTGTTTACATGGAAACATTACATGGAAACTTGATGAATGTGCCATGAGAACTGAAAGCATTTGAAATAACAGCATTTCCAACTGGTAGACAGTCATATTAGGAACAATCCAGTGGTTTCTGTATTTCTCTTTGTGCTTGATAGCATTGCATGCTGTGGCCTCTGTAACTACTATTTAAATAGGCCAAACTGCAATATGTATTTATATATACAGACAGATATATTGATTTAATTTATTAGGGCTAGTTGTTAGCACCTGTACTGGTTGAAAATAATGTGACAGAGTAAGTTTTAGTTTCCCACGCTACTTATTGGTTTAATCAACCTAACTTGTCAGAACACATTCTGATTGAATCCGACCGGTTCTGTAGCTACTGTAAATAATGACTAATGTGTTTAGTTCAGAATCAATAATGGCTTTTTTTAGTGTTGCTGATGTTGTTTCATTATGAATAGTAGTTTAATAAAAATACAAATAATAATAAACTGATTTTTGTTTGTTTTTTTAAAGCCTATTTAATTTAAATGAACAACTGAATACAGTACTATTGTAATTGCACATCTTAAGTCAACTTGCAACTAGTTGCAACATAACTGTTCACACAGATTACTTAAGTCTCTCTAAGGCAATTAATTTATTTAAATTAGTGTATGTTGTGTATATGAGTCTATTGAATATGTATATATTCAGCCTATTAGGGTTATCTCTACATTATATATTTTATACAATACAATTTTAAGCTCCACATCACCTGGAATGAATTCAAACAAATAAATGTAATTATAATGGCAACACTTTACAACAAGGTCTCATTAGTTAGCATTAGTTAATGCATTTATTTTTTGTATTTTTGACCAGATAAATGCAGCCTTGGTGAGAGTAAGAGACTTAAAAAAATGTACAAATCTTACTAAATAGAGATATTAAATATTTTATAATGGCAACACTTTACAACAAGGTCTCATTAGTTAGCATTAGTTAATGCATTAACTAAAATGAACAATACATTTGATACAGTGCTTATTAATCTCATTAATTTTAGTTTGTGTTATCTCGGGTTGTTTAAATAATTTTAGCAGATAAAACCTTTGATTTGAAAAATGTATTAGTAAATGTTGAAATTAACATTAACTGAGTTTAATAAATTCTTCAGAAGTATTTTTCATTGTTAGTTTATGTGAACAAATGGAACCTTATTGTAGTGTTATCATTATATCAGTTTATTTAAGTGGCTAACCAGTTATACTTGTACTATGCATATAATCATAATAAAAAATATATTTTTAGTGTATAATCTTACTTTAAGTGTGAGTTATACAGTAGTGTGATTGATAGGTGTTGTTTTCATGCAGAAGGGTGTGTGTGCGCTTGAGCAGAATGAGCTGTAGGTAGGCTACAGTCATTTAAACAGAAACCTTGAGCACGAGAGGAGGTGTGTGAGGAATCACTGTGCAATTCTGTGTGGGAGGAACAATGGAGACTCTTGAATGGAAAACTTGACTTATTATCAGTGCTGTCATCCCATGTTAGACATTTAATAGGTGGTTATTAAGTGAAATGGCATTTATTGAAGTTATTTACCCATATTGAAAGTAGGGTAGCATCAAATGGTAATAAAACACAATGTTTTTCTAAATACTAAGTACTAAATAATTAGCATATTTGTGTACCATGGTATGTACATAAACGCCAAGGTACTTCCCAAAATACCACGGGCATGTACTGTAAACAATAACTGGCACATATCCAAAATAAATATGGTATTACCCTGGTAAGTTTTGTTGCAGTAACAAACAGCAAATTATAAATAACACAGTATAATAAATTGTTATTATTAGCATTGAGCTATGCAGAAACCTATACATATAGAAATATGTATATGGAATACATATGGAAATTTCCCTAATGTTTTTTTTTTTTGCATTTAAATAGCTTTTACATGAACATAAAGAAAGGCAGGAACAGAACAAATAAAGAAAAGAGGATTAAAAAAAAAAGTATTAATCATGGTACATGAAAGATCTCATCATATCTCTTCAAAAAATAAATACATTTTTTGTTATTAATTACTCTTAGTGATTTGATTAAATGTTCTACTTCACATACGAAATCTATAAAAGTAGGTATTTTCTTACGAAACCTTTGTTTGTGAAAATAGAATTTTGCCACAAGGATGAGAAAGTTAACAGTAGATTCTAAAGATCTGTTTTGGTTTTCAAAAAAGCAAACAACATCCTTAATGTGTAAATTACAGTTCATATTAGCTTTAGAAAAAAAAATAGGAACTCAAATCTTTCCAGAAAAGTGATGGAACATTACATGAGAAAAATACATGACAAATATCTTCCCTTTCTTTTTTACAGAAGGTGCATATATCAGCTACATAACAACATTTCGACACAAAATGAAAGTTCCCTAATGTTCAGCTTGACGCATCTTTACCGTGACGTCATCATCTGCTATGCCGTTGGCTATACTCATACGGCTATGGAAATAATTGTGTTAACTACAGCAACACTGTAACTTAAGGATCTCGATTTTATGCCATAAAAATAGTCTGAATATCTTACCTCGAGTAGTCAGTAGTCGGTGTCTGACAGCGTAACTGTGTTACTAGTTTCGGTTCAGTTTGGTTTATTTTTCCTTGTGTTTCAGTCTCCTCGATGTTGTGAAGCTTGTTGTTATAAATGTTGTCATAAATAACAACAAAGTCTCCAGAATCTAATGTAAAGCGCCTGTTTTAATCCGTTCTTGAGGGAAGGCCGTTGCTTCGCCCCTCTGACGGTATACAGCGCATGCGCACTAGATTACGAAACTACTCTTGACAGCCACAACCGGTGGGAGTGTCTCCACAGATTGTTTGTTTTGGCTGTTAAATTGTATCTGTACTTTTATTTTGAACATTTCGAAATGATTTGTTACATTTCATAACTTAAATGAACATATGGTTAATCTAAACCATTTTAAAATGTTTTAATAACCGGCCTCTTGAGTAAGAACTCAAAATACACAATTTCATGTGCTAAAATGCTAAAGCGATCAATATAAAGAGTATATACATATATTTAGCTATGTTCAGTCAGAATCAACTAATTGACGTTATTCTATTAGTCGAAATGTCTTAAAAGGGAGCATGAAATACAGAGCGAACATTTAAAAGTAATTCTGTATTACAAAAAATTAACTCACAGGGATTAATAACTGCACTGTGAAACATTTCCTACCATAAATCTCTCAACATAAAAAGCATTAACGACAAAACGCCATCAAATGGAGAGCTAGATCAGTTTATTTAAACAGAAGCTAAAGATAACCATGAAACTGTGCTGTGCTGTGCTGACAGTTGACATTCTCAATGGACACTGAAGGACTGTGCCACTTGAAAACCCACCAGGAAGGATTCAAGAATATATTTGTAACAAACAATTATCTAATATAAGATTTAATATATTTAGTTACAATTAATATGCCATAAATACAACATGAAACTGTGCTGTGCTGTGCTGTGGTGACAGTTGACATTCTCAATGGACACTGAAGGACTGTGCCACTTGAAAAACCACCAGGAAGGATTCAAGAATATATTTGTAACAAACAATTATCTAATATAAGATTTAATATATTTAGTTACAATTAATATGCCATAAATACAAAAACACTTTGTATATACAACACATATCTGTTTATCCTATATTTATTACACTAAGTATATACAGTAGCTATGTTCATATCAGTTTTGGAGCTGGTGTGTTTGTGAATGACTCATATAAGCAGTCCTTTGATATTAAATTAAATATTTCTCTTAAAGTAGATAGTCTGACAGCAAATATTTGAAATATTAAATCCAATTGTCAATATAAAATCTTCAAAAAAGCCTAATGAGCATAGGCAGTGCTGGTCTACTGTTCAGTTTTCACAGAAGATATAAAACACACATGACAACAATATTTTACAGTAAAACAGAATCAAAACAGATGGCTGCAGTCTATTGTGCCATTAAAATGAATCGGATTTTCCAGTGCACATTTGTCTTAGACTGTCCAACTCTTCTGTCATTTTCTGCTTCTGGTTTTCAATGATGGCCATGCGCATCTCTAAGCTCCGCACATAGTCCTTCTTCCTGCGTCTGTACTCTTTGGCCGCCGTCCTGCAAAAAGCACAAGCAACTAATGAGCATAGGCAGTGCTGGTCTAGTGTTCAATTTTCACAGAAGATATAAAACACACATATGACAACAATATTTTACAGTAAAACAGAATCAAAACAGATGGCTGCAGTCTATTGTGCCATTAAAATGAATCGGATTTTCCAGTGCACATTTGTCTTAGACTGTCCAACTCTTCTGTCATTTTCTGCTTCTGGTTTTCAATGATGGCCATGCGCATCTCTAAGCTCCGCACATAGTCCTTCTTCCTGCGTCTGTACTCTTTGGCCGCCGTCCTGCAAAAAGCACAAGCAACACGGGCAACACACCACATTGACTGGCTCTGGAGCACTTGGGCCTCCAGCGTACACACATGCACACATCACCACCTTTCGCACATGGGACGTCACAGACCATGCACCTTTTCTGATTATTACGAGGTGGCTAGACATTACGTGAAAAGCACGTTTGCTCTATAAACGGTATAGTCTTTCGTGTTTTGATTTGCAGTGGACTGTTGTTATTCGGTTTTGTGACAGTATAGGTCTTTAAGAGCCTTGAGTTCTTCAATAAGCGTCTTGTTTTGTTTTTCAAGCACGGCAACTCGGTTCTCGAGACATTTGACATATTCTTTCTTCTTCCGGCGACATTCCCGGGCAGCTTCCCTGGAAGCAACAACAGAGAAGCTCTGTGAGTGTTAAATACTGTAAATCTTACATTGTGTTTACAGGTCCCACTTCAAGCAAGTCAGAACTTCAGAGCATCATCGTGTCCAAAACAGGAGAACTTGAGCTGTGAATGAGTGATTTTTTAGTTGCATGTACAACGCAAATGATTCCACAAGCTTGGTTTTTCCATTCGAAGCGTCGTCATGAAACAAAGAAAGCTTTTAGAACATGCTCCACACACTGAGACTTAACTTTCATGCTCAAGCATGACGCAGTGATAGGCTACAAGCAAAGAATACAAGCCTTTGACTGCATCAGAAGTTGAAAGCAGACGAATGGATGCAACTGAAGAACATGTGAGACCTCAGGTGGTGAAAGAAGTGAGGGGATGACCAAGCAACATGCCAAGACAGACTGAAATGAGCTGTTATAATGATTTCATGCTCTTAGGCTACAGAATGCAGTGGTAATTCTGGAATGGGGAAGTGCGGCTGGGCATTACCTGTTTTTCATAAGTCGGAGTTCCCTCTTGCGTGATGCTTCCTCAGTCAGCTGCTGAGGGCTGGGCAGAGAACCGGGAGAGCCGTCCATCACCTGGGAAAGGCCAGATACGGGAGAGGAAATCTGATATGCAGACATACCTCCAGTGGTGGCTGCAAAAACACAACACATTCATTTACAGAGATCTTTTCAAATACATTATTTTACAGAACATTTACTGCATATTTTGTGTTTCCATCACAGGTAACAAGGATTTTTTTCTGCTGGCCCAGTCAGGGCCATTTTATTTTATTTTTTTTATATATATCATTTTCAATAAACTTGTAAGTGTTCTTTACAAAATAATAAAACTGTTCAACCAACTAGCACAAAACTTTCTCACATTGATCCCAGGTCATCTTTATTGTTGAGCCCCACATCTGCAATATTTAATCAGTGACTTTTAGAGGAAGCTGATATTGTGGAAATTGTTATGGCTGTTCTGGGCGTTATAGTGATGCTATGATAGCAAACAATACATTTTTACAAAAAGAAGTGTCCAAAAGCTTTTTGCTGCCAATAAATTGAGTGAGTTATTACTTACTGCACTAGTAACTAACTAAAAGAGAAAGAAAGAAAGAAAGAAAGAAAGAAAGAAAGAAGAAAGAAAGAAAGAA